CTCAGGATCTCAGAAGTTTTATTGACAAGGGACAGTTCGTCTTTAGAAGAAATCTTTAAACCAATGATGTCCTGTCTGCGTTTCAAACGAAATCGTCAATTAACTGGACAAATGTGGAAGAACTGCAAGGACAGCATTTTTCGATTTGTCTTTCTCCTTCAATACAATCCCTTGTGATGGCCTGCCTGCTGAAACTTCGCGAAGCTTTCTTGGACCGATCGACTCTTTAGTGACCTGCCCATAATTTTGCCCATGGTGAAGTTTGATCGTCAGAAATCAGAAGTTTTGACAAACTGCTTGTACGTGTAGTCCAAAGGTCGATTTTGTACCCTTGTTGATAATTGCTGACGCTTCTCTGACATATATAAGGTATGCTGAGGACACAATCCTCCTAAGGTCTCTGAAGTCGACCAAAGATTGGAATAACAACAGGACCGGTGTATCCAATATCAGCCGTTTGTCTTGCTATGGTCTCATTCAGAAGCTAGAGAAGACGAAGAAGTTGATCTGCGTGATGCGTGGAACTAAATAAGGGCGCTTCTTCACCTTTCCAATCTGATCCTACATTTCTAGTCAGCAGGTGTCCCAGCTACAGCACATGAGGTACGTGAGCATGACTTTTTTCATCCGACCACACCTGGTGTGAGCATGTCTAGGCAGTAGCGAAGCGTTGATGCAAGGTTTGCTTTCATGCCAAAAAATCTAAAGGGGCTGCAGGCTCCGCTATGGCAGTTGGGAACTTATTCCTTCGTTTATCCTTTACCGCCGTACATACGCTGCACCTATAGTAATTCTCGGGTTGCAGGTGTGTGATTTAAAGACTTTTAGGAGGTCACAAAATTTGGACTCCAAACTAAGGTACCTGCGAAGCAGGTATCCTGCAATATTCATAGCTAAATTTTCTGTTTACAATATGTAGAAATGGCTATGAAGATTTTCTATAGCCCATTTCATCCGTAGTGCGACAACCGAGCTCGGTGTCAGTTACGAAAAGCGTTCACCAGATTATCCTACATCAGAATGTTTTGTCAAACGGAGCTGTTAAAAAAGTTCGGCACTACTTGGCTACGCTTAATGCAAACAGTGTAATGCTAGTTCAATCTTGACTCTGCAGTCTATGATCCACTCTGTGAGACCTTATTATTATGGACAAATTTATTTCAGTCACTGTATGTATTTTCTTACATATTATATATTCATTCGATGTTGATCATTTATTTATTCCTTTTTGACAATATTGCTGAAAATAAGGCCTGCGGCGACTCCTTTCAAACAGTAAACTTTCAACGTCAACTTTCAAGTATAAACAAAACTGTTATCGTCGGCTTACCGGACAACACTCGCATGACATAGTACTAAGTAGATGTCCTTGATGTTCAAGTTTTTTGTAAGAATTCCAGCGTCATAAAAACAAAAACAGTCAGCTGAGATGCAAAGTGACTTGTGGATGCGGCTTAACAAATGACTCGAAAGAATAACAGATGATTGAAGACTTAATATTTTGAAAATCGCTTACCGAGGGGATTATTTAGGATGACTATTTAATTGGGGCATGCATTTGTTATGTCAACTTGTTGTCATTGGGCTGTGTGTTTTTCAGCGATCTGCACAAATCGTCAAATTACAGTACCATGTGTCATTGCCGTTCACGACTGCATAGTTCGCCGATAGCGCGATATCTGACGTTTGCAGCAAAAGGCCTGAGGCGAAAGGGAACGACTCAAAACATCACTCAATGTTATTAAAACTACTGAGTGTATTTGCATATGAAGCCTAGCAAGAAACTGCTTGTTTTAAAGTTCGATTAAAACAACTTCATGTGAATGATACTTCCGTGGGAATTTTAAGCCAAGTAAAATATTCGAAATTGTATTATCTTTGGATTTCACTTGGAACCAATATGCAAATTACTTTGATTCCCAGAATAAGTGAGTCTGACACTACATTAAGGTCCGCGAAACTTATACATACTTATGCTTGTCAACACTGTAGTGGCGCTTACATGCTTTTTACCTCATTGTACTTATTCGTCAGTGACAATCCTCATCTTCCGTTCTTGCTCAGAATTTCAGTCTTTCATTCTGTACTGAAGCTTGTACCTCAATCCATGTGCATACAAAAAACGATATCTGAGCACTCGTACTGACGACGGAATATGTCTACCAATATTCTCCGAAATAAGTCATTTCGTTATGGAACCTCAGTCGAATGTTACAGCGACCTAACGGCGGTACTGGTAGTCACAGTTTTAAACAATGCATTGTTGCTTTCATCTTTGAAGAAAGATGCTTAGTTCCTCATTTCTTGTTCGTGGGTATCCAGTTACTTTATCTGATATGTTCTATTTTCTGCTAAAATCTTGATTTCAATGCGTCACAACATGTTTGGGTATAATGATAGGCAAATATTGGATCTCTTTCGGCATTCAACTGTAATATTTTTGGTCAAAAATCAAACCTGACACCATTTCAAGCAACATTTATTTGATAACAGTCAATAACTTCAATATATAGTGTGCATACGGCACAATACATTTACATAGATAAAATATTTATATAGTTAATAATGCATTCTTTCAGAAACGGTTCTGACTTCTCACGCCATCCGGTTTTCTTCTGAAGTAGTAAAACGCCGGCCTCAACAAAATGTCGTTGTACAGACACATTCCAGTGAGTAAGACGATA